ACACTTATTGATTACGCCACGAGAGAAATAAAATTGTGATGCCAAACTGCGTTTACGCACTGGGCAACGGTTGGTGTCGAACTGGAAGCTGAGGAGAACGGGGCAACCTTTCCAGCGGAGAGTATACATCATCATCATCGTCCACTCGCACACGGACAGACGAATCTGTGGTGCACTTCATTCTAACAATCGTCTGCGGGTTAGGCCTGCTCACGTTCGGTAAGAGAAATTACTATTCATGCTGGCTTTTCTGCTGCTTTGTCTTCCAGCAACTAGCATCTCGCATAAAAATTGCATATATACCTACTGTATTGCTACTTTCACAACATTTCTTCATAAAATCTAAACGAAATTTACGAAAGTAGCACCTCATGATGTTTACAGTGTTTACACATGCGGTACACAGCCGAGCGAACGTTGTGCTGCATTAAAAGTTCTTTTCGCTCAGAGTAGCGTTTACACCTCCATATCGTGACTTTGGTTAATGAGGGGGTAGGTACACTCTTAAAATTTTAACACTCTTTTTTTTACACTGGGCTACGCTACATGCTGCAATCGATTTCTTACACTGTCACGAGGTTTTGTTCGTGTGGTGAATCATGATTGGAGGATGTTTTGGATACCCCGTCTACGTTCAGGAACGGAGCGTATTAGAATGCGCTCCCATTTACAAGTCTGTCTAAACTGCCGTTGCGATAAGCGATTTGCGCTGTGTTAACGCCGAACAGAAATTGTACGCGCCCAAAGATTTTATTTTGGGCCTGTAATATTTTGTTTTTTGGTATTTTTTAATCGCCCAGCAGAGGTTTTGGTCGCCATTAATTGGCGACTGGGCGACCGGCACTGAATTACAGAAAATGTGAATACGTGGAGAACAAAGCTGATTTCGATTTGCCATGCACTATATTAACATCGCAATCAACTCTACATGCCTTTGTGAACAACAGTGTGCATTTTAGGTAGGTGAACTGCACTGGACCCTCGCGCAACAGAAAGACACACAGTGCATGCCTACAGTTGGGAGAAGAATGTCAGACCTGCATGCTGCCTGTTCACATGGGGACGTTGAGAAAGTGTTAGAACTTTTGCGAGGTGGAGCGGAAACATCGTGCTTGAACGCACGCATGGAGACGCCTCTCCACGTTTCCTGCGCACTTTCGCGGGACATGAGGGAAGAGAAGATGGACATCGTGCGCCAGCTACTGGAAGCCCGCGCCGACCCCAACGTCGCCGATCCGAAGAGCGGGGAGAAGCTGCTGATAAAGGAGGTGATATTGGGTGAGGAAGCGATGGTGCAGATGCTGCTCGCACACGGCGCCGACGCCAACGCTGCGGACTCGCACGGACATACCTCCCTGTACCACGCGGCTTGCTCTGGCCAGCTGAACATCATGCGCCTGCTACTGGAGGCCGGCGCCGACCCCAACGTCGCTGAGACGAGGTGTGGAGCGACGCCGCTGATGAAGGCGGTGAAGGAGGGCGAGGAGGCGATGGTGCAGATGCTGCTCTCACACGGTGCTGACGCCAACGCTGCCGTGAACTCGTACGGAGATACCTCCCTGCACATCGCGGCTTACTCTGGCCGGATGGACATCATGCGCCTGCTACTGAAGGCCCGCGCCAACCCCAACGTCGCCAATACGGAGAGCGGGGAGACGCTACTGATGAAGGCGGTGAAGGAGGGCGAGGAGGCGATGGTGCGGATGCTGCTCTCGCACGGCGCCGACGCCAACGCCGCGGACTCCCAAGAACAGACCACCCTGTACCACGCGGCTTGCTCTGGCCGGATGGACATCATGCGCCTGCTACTGGAGGCCCGCGCCAACCCCAACGTCGCCGCGACGGAAGAATTGGAGAGTTTCACCGCGTTGCACTACTCTTGCGATCGACTTTACATTGAAGTTCAAACCGAGGTAAAATTACGGGTGTACGTTGCGAATGATTGAGATCGAATTTTAGCAATGTCCTAATGTATTTTCGTATAGAATAAGATGGTAAAGGTAATCAGTAATAGTAATCGGTTAACAGTTAATAATAGATATGTTATAGTTTCACCGCATTACACTACTCCTGCAATCTACTCGGGACCAAGGTAAAAATGTGGGCATACGTTGTGAATAACGGAGATAATTTTAGCGATGTTCCAATGTATTTTTGTCTAGATAATAAAGGTAACTAGAGCACTCGGAGAGCATAGACCTCCGCCAAGGCAGCTGAATTCTCTAACTGAAAATTTTTAATAATTAATTAATTAATTAAGTGAAAAATTTCATTAATTAGTTAATTAATTAAATAATTGGATCCGGATCACCACCAAAATGTAATCAATTCTAAGTTACCCCATTTCTGACGTATCCTGAAAATTTTATTAATTAATGAATGAATTAATTAATTAATTGGATCCGGATCACCACCAAAATCTCATCAATTCTAAGTTAGCCCATTTCTGACGTATCCTGAAAATTTTATGACAATCCGTTTATAACCTTTTCAGTTAGGCTGTACACAAACTCACAAACCCACAAACCAACAAACAGTTGAGCACACGCCGGTGAAAACATAACCTCCTGCCAACCCCTTGGCGGAGGTAATCAGTAATAGTAATCGATTAATAGTTAATAATAGTAATAGTTAGTAATCGGCAACAGTAATAAAGGTATTATGCTCGGAGAAACTTGTTCTTTAAGGAACGAACCTAAAATGGGGTTGTTAACGATCCTCGTTTCTCTCGTTCACACAGATGATTACTCTCCTCTTGAAACACGGAGCTGACCCGAACCTCGTCGATTGTAACAAGAGAACGCCGCTCGCTATAATCGGCAGCCAGGCGGATGTGAGAAGACCCAGAATTAGCGAGCGAGCAGCACAAGCGGCGTCAGCACTCCTACAGACGTGCGAGTCCACCGGCGTACTTCTACAGGTTAACACACACGACAGTGAGGGCAACACCCCGCTGCACAGCTTCTGTAGCGCGATGCTCCCACGCAAAGACGATGTTTATGCGCGAGAGAGGGAGGGATGTATGCAGATAGTGCACAAGCTGCTGTTCAACCACGGTGCACACGTCGACGTGGTGAACAAATGGGAAGAGACACCCTATGAGGTCTGGTGCCAGATTCACCCGGCTTGTTTCCGTGTAAACGTCGAGTTGAGCAACAAGATAAATGGCAGAATGAGTGCGCAGTATCATTCGCTGCAGTGCCACTGCGCGCGCGTTATCGTCAGACACAGCGTTGCATACGAGAACAGGCTGCAGATGCCTCCGAGTCTCATAGAATTTGTTAGGGCACACGCTATACCAACGTAGGTGACACTAAACGTGTTAACCGAGGAAGCCCATGTAGGATCGAAGATGCGATAAGTTAACCCAGAAGATATTATCAATACTTGGTAGATCTATGTTCTAATTGTTGCACGTGTTGGCAGACGTGTTTCATTGCAATGTAAAATCGAGTATATGTAGTAACACTATTCAGTTTATATAGAAATATGTAGATTATCGGTATGATGCCTTGGTGAATTGGCGCGATTTAATAACCACGAGTACAAAATTTAATGTTAAAAGTTTGCAAATCATTTTGCTCTGTAAAAAAACTCTAAAGGCTTAGTTGGGTTCTGAATATTAAAAATAAATAAAAATAAAACAACTATTTTACCATGAAATGTATGCAATTCGGAAAGTACTTATTACCACCAGAATCACATATTTGATGTGCTCCTGCTCCCACACACCACCAAAAAATATAATCATTAATGACCAACTGTTCAGCGATCCACTTGTCGTAATGTACCCATTACTAGGGTATACTATATAT